CCTCCCCCCCCAGCCCCACCCCGCCTCACCCGCGTACCGCGGTGCGGAAAAACCCACGCGGTACCGCCGCGCCTGCCGGACCCAGGGGAACCCACGCCCCGCTCCCCGGCGCTTTCCAAGAGAGCGTTCCCTCCGCCCCCGAGGAAGCGACTTCCCGGCCCCAACCACAGGGAAAAGCGGGAGGTTTAGAGAACAGGAACGACACAGAGACTTGACGAACGAGCTCTCAACTAGCTCATCTTTTATTGCATATAAAACCACGTAACCGAATCATTTCAAATGGCTCCAGCTGTGAGTGCTCCGTCGTCGTCCATAGCAGCATCCCCTCTTCTTCGCAAGGGTCAGCTCTGCAGGCGGCGAGGCGGGAGGAATCACTCCGAAGGGGCGAGACTAGCACAGGCCCCGCACGCCGCGGCCCGGGCAGATCCGCCTGCCCGGGGAGGCCGCGCTCAGCACCTGCCGGCAGCAGGAAAGGCAGCGCTCAGTACCAGCATCACCCGCCTCTCCTCATCCCCATTACCCGCTCGCTACAGGCGCTATGGGAACGTGGGTTTCACTCCCCACGCATCGCCGCGGGGAGTAAGCTTAGCGTTCCCTATGCTGTCGGCACAGTTATCTCACCAGGGGCCACGGGAGACCCGAAGTGATTTTCAGACTGGGCCCAGCGCCCTCACGTAACGCGGCCCCCAGAAGCACCTTCCTGGACCACTCGCCGCCACGCTCCCCTCCACGCCCCACCCGACACAGGTCATAAACAGCCCCCAAAAGGTGTTTTTTTTTTTGTTTGTATTAAATCTCGAGAAGTGTGGGAGGCGGGAAAACACCGCGCTGCCCCCTCACAAACAGCACCCCATAACCCCACACTCACCCTCCGCTCGCCTCAGACTGAGCGGTCTGTGCTGCGCGCCCCTTTATATAGTGGTCGCGCGCATGCGCACGGCGGCCGATAGGTCTGCCTGCCCCGCACCCTGTATAACTGAGAGGAAAGCGTCGCTCTACACAGCACTGTATTCCCCATTCAGCGCGCGGGGCGTACACCGCCGGGCGGTGCTCTCGCGAGACCCGCGTAGTAGAAATAGCGAGCGGTGGGGCAGCGCGGCCTTCTACGCTGAGAGATCACGTAAGTGGGGTGGGCAGGCGGGCTAGATGGCGCCGGCGGAGCGGTGCGGCCGTTCCCCCATCCACGTCCATCGGGGCTACTGGAGGCGCGGGGCCAGCTGCTCCCGGCCGGATCGGTCTCTGCCGGGCCCTAACGCCGCCGAGCTGCTGTTTCCCGCCGCCGCGGCGG